CTGTCCGATGAAGGCAAGTGTGCCAAATGCCTTGTTCACCGTCCTGTTTACTTGTGACCACTAACATCTAGAAGGACAAAGGCAGCTGATGCGTAGGAATACCACCCCTTGCAAGTTCCCCTCTGAGCCCCACACCAAGCTGACTTGGAAATATATCACCGCTCCTTCAGTGTTGCTGAGTCAAAACCCTGAAACTCCCTCCCTAAAGGAACTGCTGCGGCACGGTGGCTCAGTGGTTAGCACTGCTGCCTCATGGCGCCAGGGGCGTGGGTTCGATTCCACTCTCGGGTAACTGTCTGTGTGGCGTTTGCATGTTCTCCCCCCGTGTCTGCGTGGGTTTTCTCTGGGTGCTCTGGTTTCCTCCTACAGTCCACAGATGTGTAGGTTAGGGAGGACTGGCTGTGGAAAATTGTCCCATAGTGCCCGGGGATGTGCAGGTTAGGGTGGATTGGCCGTGGAAAATTGTCCCGTAGTATCCAGGGATGTGCAGGTTAGGGTGGATTGGACGTGCTAAATTGTCTCGTAGTGCGCAGGGATGTGTAGACTAGGTGGATTGGCCATAGGAAATGCGAGGTTACAGGGACAGGGTGGATGAGGTGGGTCTTGGATGGGCTGCTGTTCAGAGGGTCAGTGTACTTTTGATGGGCTGAATGGCCTGCTTCCAACATGGTAAGGTTTTCTCCGAAAACTGCGGGTGCCCCTACGCCAGACAGGGCTGCAGTGGTTCAAGAAGGCAGCTCCCCATCATCTTCTGACGGGGGCAACCAGGGGATGGGCAATAAATGCTGGCCCCCGCTAGCAAGGAGCACATCCCGTGAGTGTATATATTTTTAAAAAATCAACTACCTACTGGTTGTAATCCCTTGAATCTTTTGGAGTTGAACCAGCAAGGGCTGGCCGATGGAAAGGTTTACTCCCAAGCCATCTCCCAGTGTGTCAGCAGTAATGAGAGAGAATCTAGCCTCTGTGCCAAAGGAGAGTGGAACTATATTGTTCAAACTTGTCAGAGCGTAGTCAGCTCCTTGTGACTGGCTTGGCACTGCTCCTATGGGTTACAGTAAAGCCAGTTTCCTGTCTTTAGTTGCCGTCTCTGAACCTGTGTTTGCGATTGAACAAAAACCAGTCGGACAGCTTTACTTATTCTTTCCCCCCTTCGTCTTGCCCTTGGTGTGTTGAGTCCTCAGAGGCCTGTTGAAGAGTTCACTCGATAACTCCCTCCACGTTGGCGTCTCCGTCCGTTCCTCGCCCACCTCCATCGCCGTCCGCAGGCAGAAGGGCAATTGCCAGGGTCCTGTGTTTTCACATTGCCCTAGAATGCCTTTTAGAGTGTTTCTGAATATTTTCGGAGAGGAGTTGATTGCTTTGGAATTTCTTGCGGAAGGTGGCTTGCCAGTTTTGGGTGCAGCCAGTTCCCTTGCCACGGCAATGGGATGATGGTCAACTTGTATAGCACGGGAAAAGAGACCCTTCAGCCCATCATATCCATGATGGTCATCAACCAGTGGGGCACTGCAAGGATCAGTGCTGGCTCCTCTGCTGTTTGCCATTTATATAACTGATTTGGATGTGAATATAGAAGGAATGGTTAGTAAGATTACAGATGGCACCAAAATTGGCGCTGTAGTGGACAGTGAAGAAGGTTACCTCAGAGTACAACAGGATCTTGTTCATATGAGCTGATGGGCAGAGGAGCGGCAGATGGAGTTTAATTTCGATAAATGTGAGGTGCTGCATTTTGGTAATGCAAATCAAAGTTGGACTAAATGTGAAGATCCTGGGGCGTGTTGCCGAACAAAGAGAACTTGGGGTATAGGTTGATAGTTCCTTGAAAGTGGAGTCGCAGGTAGACAGGGCAGTGAAGAAGGTGTTTGGTAAGTTGCCTTTATTGGTCAGTGCATTGAGTATAGGAATTGGGATGTCAAATTGCAGCTATGCAGGACATTGGTCAGGCGCATTTAGAATACTGTGTGCAATTCTGGTCTCCGTGCTATCAGAAATATGTTGCTAAACTTGAATGGGTTCAGAAAAGACTTACAAGGATGTTGCCAGGGTTGGAGGGTTTCAGCTATAGAGAGAGGCTGAATAGACTGGGGCTATTTTCCCTGGAGTGTTGGAGGCTGAGGGGTGACCTTATAGAGGTTTATAAAATCATGAGGGTCATGGATAGGGTGAATAGCCAAGGTGTTTTTCTCCAGGGTAGGGGAGTCCAAAGCTAGAAGGAATAGGTTTAAGGTGCGAGGGGAAAGATTTGAAGGGACCTAAGGGGCTTTTTGCACACAGAGGGTAGTGCGTGTATGGAATGAACTGCCAGAGGAAGTGGTGGAGGCTGGTACAATTATAACATTTAAAAGGCATCCGGATGGGTACATGAATCGGAAGGGTTTAGAGGGATATGGGCCAAATGCTGGCAAATGGGACTGGATTAATTTAGGATATCTGGTCGGAATGGATGAGTTGGACTGAAGGGTCTGTTTCTCTGCTGTACAACTCTATGACTTTTTATAAAGTGCTTCGAGTCATTATCCATATACATCACTCTACCTTCCTGTTAGGCGCAGTAAGTTGTAGATACAACCAGCCTCTGGGTAGACGTTGTTTTCCTCACATTCCCGCTCCAAACAAATCCCTTGCTCCTTTACCTTTAAAACTGTGCGCCCCCTCCCAGTTATCGACTTCTCGAAGGAGAGCGGTTTCTCCCTATCCACACTATCTATACACCTCAGAACTGTGCACACCTCAATCATATGCTACCTCAGATCCCTCTCCTCTATGGAAAACAGCCCCTGCCCCTCTAGTCTCTCTTCGTCCTTGGATCTCTCCAACATCCTGGTGAACGTCCTCAGCACCCTCTCTCTAGTGCAATCTATAAGAAGGATGTACGGTGCAGATACTGAAACCGCACACAGTACTCCAGCTGTGCCTAGCACACAGCTCTATCGTAACCTCCCTGCTCTTGTTTTCAGTGCCTTGACCAATGTGTGGATTCTGTAAACAACTGATAGTGGTGTGATTTGAACTCGTGCGTCAGGGTGGTTAAGCAGGTGTTCACCACGCTTGCCTTCGTTGCTCAGACCTTTTGAGTGTAGGAGTTGGGACGTCATGTTGAGGCTGTACAGGATGTTGGTGAGGCCTCTTGTGGAGTACAGTGTCCAGTTCTGTCAGAGGAAGGGTATAATTAAGCTGGAGAGGGTTCAGAAGAGACTTACCAGGATGTTGCTGGGAATGGAGGGTTTGAGTTATAAGGAGAGGCTGGGACTTCTTTCACTGGAGCATAAGAGGGAGACCTTATTGAAGCTTATGAAATCATTAGGGGTCTAGATAAGGTGAATGGCTGGTGTCTTCACCATAGAGTGGGAGATTTCAAGACAAGGGGGCAAGTTTGAGGCGAGAGGAGAAAAATTTAAAAAGACATGAGGGGCAATTTCTTTTGCACTGAGCAGTGGAATGAACTTCCAGAGGAAGTGGTGGATGTGGGTACAGTCAGTGTTTAAAGGCATTTGGATAAGTACATGAATAAGAAATGTTTGGAGGGTTATAGACCAAGCACAGGCAGTTGGGACTAGTTTAGTTTGGCATAATGGTCGGTATGGACTGGTTGGACCGAAGGGTCCATTTTTGTGCTGTATTACTGTATGACTCATGCCTTTTGAAAGACTGCTTGGCCACAATACCACAAACTAAAGCATCCATGGGATGCACTGCAGATCTCAGTGTTGATTATCTGAGTTTCTAAAAATACATTATTTGTTTGTGGAAAGTGGCAGAGCTGGCATTTTTTTGGCCATCCTTAATTGCCCATTGAGAAAGTAGTGGTGAGCTGCCTTCTTAAACCGCTGCAGTCTTCTCTTCCACAAACTTTGGCGGACACTGGATCAGTTGTTAGTTTTAAATCCGAGAAATTTTTGTGAAGCAGGTTAAGGGATATGGGCCAAAGGCAAGGAAATGGAGTTAGGCCACAGATCAGCCAGGATCTCATTGATCGACAGGCTGAGTGGCCTACTCCTGTTCCTGTGCCTGTGCGGTATAGTTGTGGGATTTTGACACTGAAGGAACGGCTGATAGATTTCTGAGTTGGGATGATGTGTATCTTGGAGGGGGATCATTTAGGGGGTGGTGTTGCCATGTCACCCTTGTCCTGCTTTGGGCGTTAGAGATGACAGGTTTGGAAGACGCTGTCAGAGGAGTCTTGGTGAGTCGATACAGTTGATAGACATCGACAATGTTCACTCCGTTTGCGGTGAAACACGTCAAGATGGCACGGGGTTGTGAGGTGTGGCTACAAAAATGCAACTCTCTCCTGACACAAGGGGATGCGAATCTGTGTCATAAAAGGGCGTACGTCACATCAGCCAAGCTGGTTGACTGGGCATTCCCTTCCTAAGGGCATTGTGTGGCTGTCCCTACACCACAATTCGTTCAGAAACCACCTTCTTATGGGGAACTAGGGATGGGCAATAACTGCTGGCCAGGCCAGCAAAGTCCACAGATGGGGGCACGGTCAGTGTAGAGGGTGCTTTACTCTGTATCTAACCCCATGCTGCCCCTGTCTTGGGAGTGTTTAATTCAGGGGGGGGGGGGGGAACAGTGTAGAGGGAACTTTGCTCTGTATTCAACCCCCTGCTGTTCCTGTCCTGGGTGGGGGACAGTGTAGAAAGAGCTTGACTCTATACCTAACTCTCTGTTCTGGGCGTATGGGGGACAGTGTAGAGAGAGCTTTTCCCTGTACTAACCCCCATGCTGTCCCTGCCTGGGAGTGATTGATGGGGGACAGTGTAGAAAGAGCTTTACTCTGTATCTAACCCCGTGCTGCCCCTGTCACTGGGAGT